GCCCTCCCCTACTTTTTAGGCCGCAGCATGATCTGGTAATTTTTACGCGCCTACGTGCGTAAAATTTACGTGTGCAAATAAAATAGAGGCAATGTACGAAAGTTTAGCTTGTGAGCGTAAAAGTTGAACCACGCTCAACTTCTCGTAATTAAACAAAAACGCATAGTATGAGTAGGCCAGGACAACGGAAGAGTGCGTATAAAATGAAAATATTCAGGTAAAGATTAGTGTTGAGGGTTTTTAAAATTATAGCCTGTAAGCGGTCTCAGTTGTGACAGTGAGTGGAAATTTGGTCAGCGGAGCTACGGGTACCAGCGCGCAAGGAAAAGTGAATTTCCACACAAGTGAGCCTGTTTGAAGGCTAAAAAAATATACAAATCGATTTACTTTTACCTGGACAGTTTCCACTGTTTATTTCTACACTATCAATCGCTATATCCCCAGTGAATGAATTTCCTGCAATTCCCTCGAATATGACCTGCGGAAAGTGTCGAGTTGTAGTTAGCAATATACCTGACACTTTCTGTCTGCTTATACTCTCTTAAAGGGAACCTCCACTCTTACTACAGAATAAGTTTAAATCGAATACAATTATGTTGATAAACAAATTTGTTCGAAATTTGTCCTTAAAAAAAGTGTTTATATCAGGAAAAGTGAATTTTAAAATCGCTTATTTTCACTTTCAAATTTCGCGGGCGCCGCCATCTTGAATAATTGTGACGTGTTACGGTTGCTCTATTGTTCTGACACAAAGAGCTTTTGTTTAATAACAATAGGGCAACCATAACACGTCACAATTATTCAAGATGGCGACGCCCGCAAAATTTGAAAACAAAAATAGGCGAATCTAAAAGTTATTTCTTTCGGATAGAAACGCTTTCTTTAAAAATATTTTAGATTGACTTGACTGTAACAGTTATTTCCTGTGATTTAAAGTTATCTTTTTGTTGAAGTGGAGGTTCCCTTTAAGGTGGCTCGACTGGATTTTTTGGGGTTGATACCTCCCAACTTTGAGCATTACCTTCGTCGGCATGAGTAAAGATATGGAAAAAATGTTACCACAACTGTATTATATAAAGATGAAAATTTCTTATGATCTGGGTTTTATTGCAATCGGAGTCGCCATGGCAACGTAATGACGCCATTACGTTTTTCATTTATCTTTGTGTTTCTCTGTTCCAAGAGTTTTTTGAAGAAATCGCTTTAGGGAGTATGTACCTGCTATAATTGCCTCCATTATGGCGTAGTTTGAACAAATTCTATGAGAGCGTTTTCGAAATATTTTGAAATGTAATTTTAAGAATAATAAAAACAGTGAAATAGCATGCTACCTACACAATTCGCTAATATTCTAAGAAAATGATAAGCTTTGGGAACGAGGTTTCAGCTCGTAGTGGTTTGATTCCATTGAAAACTGCATACGAAAAAAGAGGGGAATTGCTCTGGGCGATCGCGAGTAAGAAGAATTTTATTAACTTGCATTCAGCTGCTTTTGATACAGTTTTTGCACGTAATTTGGTCTATGCCTAAAAATTTCGCATTTTTCCAAAAACGGCTCGATAAATTTTTCTATAAATTCGACAATCCCGAGATCAATTATCAAGAAATATTCCCTGCACGTTTCAAGAACATTGAAAATAGGGAAGGCTTTTAAATAGGGCCTCAAATATAACCAATTTTCCCCCCAGATTTTGTGTTTACAAGTGAGCGTCCTCATTATTCACTGGCATTGTTTTCAAGGTTCATATGCACGTGCACAACTAGCAAAAGTTATAAATTTGCATCAAAAAGAACTCTCGATTACTTTCCAGAGAAATATCTGGAGTATGCTAATAATTGGCTTGTCGTCACAGACAGCAGTGAGAGCCGAAAAGGTGAACGTCACGGCTCATCGTGTAGGATGGAATACTTAATTATGTTACTCGGGTTATAACATCAAAGAAACTCTCACAAAGAGTTGCTCTGATGTTATAATATATCATTAATCTCTTTACCCGGTAATTAGCATATCCCGGAGATTTAACGGAGGGTCCTTTTTGATGTAAATTCTATCTTTTTGCTAAATGTGCACGTGTATATGAGACTTGAAAACAATGCCAGTGAATAATGAGGACGCTCACTTGTAAACACAAAATCTGGGGGGGAAATTGGCTATATTTGAGGCCCTATTTAAAAGCCTTCCCTGTTTTCAATGTTCTTAAAACTTGCAGGGAATATTCCTTGACAATTGGTCTCGGGATTGTCGAATTTATAGAAAAATTTATCGAGCGGTTTTTGGAAAAATGCGACATTTTTAGGCATGGACCAAATTACGTGCAAAAACTGTATCAAAAGCAGCTAAATGTAAGTTAATAAAATTCTTATTACTCGCGATCGCCCTGAGCAATTCCCCTCTTTTTTCGTATGCAGTTTTCAATGGAATCAAACCGTTATGAGATGAAGCCTCGTTCCCAAAGCTTATCATTTTCTTGAAATATTAACGAATTGTGTAGGTAGCATGCTATTTCACTGTTTTTATTATTCTTAAAATTACATTTCAAAATATTTCGAAAACGCTCTCATAGAATTTGTTCAAACTACGCCGTAATGGAGGCAATTATAGCAGGTACATACTCCCTAAAGCGATTTCTTCAAAAAACTCTTGGAACAGAGAAACACAAAGATAAATGAAAAACGTAATGGCGTCATTACGTTGCCATGGCGACTCCGATTGCAATAAAACCCAGATCATAAGAAATTTTCATCTTTATATAATACAGTTGTGGTAACATTTTTTCCATATCTTTACTCATGCCGACGAAGGTAATGCTCAAAGTTGGGAGGTATCAACCCCAAAAAATCCAGTCGAGCCACCTTAAGGTGGTGGCGAAGATAACGATAATGATGATGATGATGATGATGATGATGATGATGATAATGATATTGATGATGATGATGATGCATGGCGATGATGATGTTGATGAGGATAACGATACGCTAGCTAGAATTACGTACGCGTTAGCACTCTTTTTTCTCTTACCAATCCATTCAGAATAATGTTTCTCTCCACCACAATCCAGTAATTACTCTGTTGTCCGGAAATATTAAAGACTTTGCTGTTTCCGCTGTATACGTTAAGAGTTCCAACTGAAGCTCCATACATATGATAGTAAAACGAAAGGCATGATATTTCTCCCTTGTTTGGAACAGTAAGAACAAGCTTGGCTTTGTCGCCAGGTCTTCTTGGAGAGGATGTTTCAATGTACATATAATTTCCTTAAATGAAAGAGGAAGAGGCAAATATAAGTAAATATTACTTTAACAATCAACAAAAGACGATATAGTATGTTGCCCAGTATCCGGCCTGTACCAGTATCCGGCCACTTAAAACAAAAACTCAATTTTTGCCGCGCCCTTTTCAGCTTTCGGTAAACGAAGTATTTCGAATGGGAGCTTATGATCTCAGCTTAAAAATGCAAACTTTTGGCGGGTTTACAGCTTGAGAAACAGTTGCAGAATTCGCCGTTCTGTTCAGGTCAGTAAACTTTTCATGGCTAATATTTACGCTGTTTACCGCGCAGTAAAACTAGTGGTGTTCAAATAAGGATTGGTAATATGTGATATTTTTAAAGAAACTTTTTTATATTTAAAGTGAAGATTATACTTAAGGAAGTCAGTGTCAGAAAATCCATAAATTCTTCTTGAAATTCAATTTGGTTGCAATAATGGAGGCCAGAAACATCATTCACTAAGTATTAATGTCAGATGCCTGGTATACGGCAAGTTTTTTCTTTGCTGCAGAATCGATGAATTAGCTGCGTTCTATTCGGGCAAGATTTATTTCATATCTATACATGTCCAGGAATCTCGCATATTAAATTTCGCGCGACTTACATTCAGACTGTTTCGCAATGGTTTTAACCGCTGGTTTTTACTGTGATTCCAGTGCTCATAATGTTCGGAAAGGTCGAGTGGTCAAATACATTGTTGTTTAAAGTCAAATAAAAGCCGCTGATCAAAAATATTGCCACAACCAAAAATGACGACGAAAACTCAAACAAATAAGCTTTCGAACCTTAGGTTTTTGAGACAATTTAGATGATTCTTGGACGAGATATTGTAGAAGGAAGGTCTTGGATGTAAGCCGTGTAGTGGAAGCGTGTTTATAAATAGAATTAACTCCAAATTCTTTAACCGTGGGAAGGAAGAATATGCTTTTTCAGTGGACAAAAAAACCCACGATAGAGACATAAGAATTTGTACTTGAAGATTTAATCGCATCGTCTGAGAGTTTCCAAGCGGAATTGTCGTTAATTACTGAAGAAAAGAGGTTCATCAAAGTGGCAGTGCTCCATTTGCGTTAGAATCATATGGAAGGCGCAGGTAATTTTTTAGTTTTTTTTTTTATTATTTCTTTTCATTCTGGGAAGCTCGAGATTTGAAGGTTGGAGTTAAAGTTTGTCAAAAGTAAGATCTAAATAAGTCAACCTTTCAGTATCAATCGCGTCCTAGTGTTCAGGTATTATTTGTTATGTTTTGCTTCACGATGCTAGGTTTCCACGTCGATTAACATTTGTGGAATCGAATGCCAAACTACTTTGCAAGTGCGTGCAAGAAGAGCTTATAAGTCGCTTCCCTGTCGAAATTTTTGTATAACTATGTTGTTATTGTAGTGGCCGGATACTGGGCAACATAGGAGCTCTGCAAAAATTGGAAAATAATTTCGCTATGGAAACGAAGGCAAAGAAATTAAACTGTCTTTCATCATGTTAAGGACTAAATAGATTGTCTCTGGGCCACACTTCAGAACTCTTGCGACCAGGAAAGGAAAGTTATAGTAATGTTAAACTGAAGTGGCCGAATACCGGGCAACATACTGTGCACACGTGTTGTGTTGTATTTTGCTGTTGACTTTTTTGTTTGTTTTAGCAAAAATGTGAAAAAAGAAATGTTATTTTTATTTTCTTACAGCTTGCTTTGAATGAAAAGCACATAAAAAATCGATATAAGATATAAACTGCTCATGCTATTTGATTACTAACAGGCAGAGTCGTTAGCTGTTTACGCGTATTATAGATTAAATTTTACTTCATTGCAATATATCGCTACGGACACGTAATATTGTTTGGTTACAAATATGATACGTGTGTTAGAGGGTGGTAACCCTAGTGCTAGGCATCATGGGAAGGGGCTCGGCAGATCAGAGCTACGTTCTGTCGTTGCGTTGAGTTGAGTTACTGTCTTGTTACTGTTAGAGCTCTCACCGAAACATGGTACCAGGAGTGTGAACAAACGCTGATTATTCTGCTGCTATCGATCTGCTATCGATCTGACTTTTTGTGATCTTGTTTGGTCTGTGAGTGTGGAGTCTCGTCGATCGCTCAAACATACTGCCTGAGATTTTCGCGCCAAAACCTTGCAAAACCACGAGTTAAACATGTCGGAAGAAGGAGCCGAAGCTGCGGCCCCAGCTCAAGATCAAAATCAAGGTTTCTTTACTGGTAATATCATGAACTCCGAGCGACTCAAGTTCGATTCTCGCCAGGAGAATCGGCGTAGAAGCATTGAAAGCCTTCAAAAAGAAATGTAATTACATCTTCAAAGGAAGTCTTGTGAATATTTCGAATGAAAGAAAATGTATTTTGGTTCAAGATTGGCTTGGCCCTGAAGGTCAAAAGATATACGACAGCCTGGACTGGTTTGAAGTTGAGGATGTAAACGACTATGATCTGATATGGACTAAGTTGGAGCGAGCGGTAGGTCCAGAATGTAACGAGATTGTTGCTTCTAAGAAATTTAAAGAACGAGTGCAAAAACCTGGAGAGACAATAACTGCTTTTGCCACTGATCTGCTGCTGTTAGTGGAAGACTGTAATTATGTAGACGAAGATAGACAAATGAGAGATCAGTTTGTTTATGGTGTCTCTGACGAAGAAATAAAGAAAAGATTGCTAGAAAAAGGAAACACTCTCACAAGAGTTGAAGCTATTACAATTGGCAAGGCTTATGAAAGTACAAAGATTGAAGTCCAAGAGTGTAGTGCAAACCGAACTCCTGCAAAAGAGAGTATAAAAGCTGTTTCTAAAGATAAGCCCAAGAAAGTCCTCATGTGTAATTACTATGCAAACAAAAAGGGAGCTCATAGCTTTTCAGACAAGAAACTCTGCCCCGCCTGGGGAGCAGTCTGCAGAAAATGCAAGGCCAAAAATCACTTTCAAGACTCAAAGGAGTGTAAACGCTTACAAAAAGGAAAGCAGGAGAAACACTCAGATTCAAAACAATCAAAATCAACCTCAAAACCGTTTGTACTGAGAGTAGAAGAAGATGGTGAGGATCACTATTATGAAGTTCTTGACAAAATCTGTGTACTTAATCAAAACGGTGATCACAAGAAAGCTTTTGCAAACCTACTTCTGTCGAAGAAAAGAATTCCTGTTAGCTTTCAGATAGACTCTGGTTCAACATGTAGCATTCTCCCTGTGAATGTGTACAAAGACATCAGTGGAGATTATGATCTCACAGACCTTAACACCGTAGTCAAACCTGTTCTGTCTCTCTATGATGAAGGAACCAAAATTCAGACCCTAGGAACCAGAAAAGCCTTTGTGCTAAATCCTGCAACCAGTGAAGAAATGATAATTCAGTTTAGAATTGTTGACAGAGACCTAACACCTCTGATCGGTCTAAATGACTCTCAAACACCCAAAGTCATTGAGCTCTTAAGAGAGAATATTGCTGTAGTAGCCCCAGCTAACCCAAGTGTCCCTGTAACTGCCAGTGAAGTGACGGCACCACTCACCTTGGAGACCATTCTGACTAACTACCCTCAAGTCTTTGATGACAGTACAGGAAAGTTTGAGGGCGAACTACATCTTCACACAAGTAATGATGTCACTCCTCACAAAACAGCTCCTAGAGAGATCCCCCTCTCTGTGAAGAACAACTTTATTGCTGAAGTAAAAGACCGACTCCAAGGTATAATAGAGAAAGTGACTGAGCCTACCGAATGGGTAAGTGCTCCTACAATTGAAAACAAACCTTCTGCTAAGAATGGAATTAGGCTTTGCATAGACAGCAGACCACTGAACACGGCACTCAAACGATCTGAGTACCCAATCCCAACTGTCGATCATCTGCTTACAGACATTAGCAATGCTAAAGTATTCTCCCTAGCTGATATCAAGAATGCTTTTTGGCATGTACCATTAGATGCAGAAAGTTCCTTGCTGACAACCTTTAATACCCCTCTTGGACGGATGAAATGGAAAAGAATGCCTTTTGGCATCAGTGTAGCACCTGAAGAATTTCAAAGAAGAATTGATGATAATCTAGAAGGATTAGAAGGGGTAAAAGCCATAGCTGATGACATATTGATCTGGGGCGATGGAGAAAACATTGAAGAAGCAACAGCTAGCCATGACAAGAGATTGCTTGCCTTGTTGGAGCGATGCCATAAGAAGAATATTAAAATTAATAAGGAGAAGTTCCGGCTGAGGAAGACTGAGTTGTTCTACATGGGTGTGGTCCTTACAGACAAAGGAGTTAAACCTGACCCCAAGAAACAAGAATGCATTCAGTCAATGGCTGCCCCAACCAACAAAGATGAGGTCAGAAGACTACTTGGTGTTGTTACCTGCCTCTCAAGATTTTCAGAAGACTTGCCAACCAAGTCAGAACCGATACGAGCTCTGCTGAAGAACAGCACTGCGTCTATCTGGGAAGAAAATGAACAGGAAGCTTTTGATGAAATTAAGACCCTCATTCTGAATGCACCACTGCTAAGATACTTCAATGTGGCTGAACAAGTTGGTCCAAGTGGACGCATCATCAAGTGGTTTAGGAGCCTGCCTCATGCAAGACGGCCGACCAGTATGCATCGAGAGTATGCAGTATGCAATATGCATATGCAGTAGCAGTATGCATCGAGAGCATTAACAGACACTGAAAAACGTCACAGCCAAATCGAGAAAGAGATGCTTAGTATTGTATTTGGGCTCGCTAGATTTAATACCAACACTTTTGGTAGGAAAGTGACAGTCTATAACAACCACAAACCCCTTGCTGCCGTATTGAAGAAACCTGTTGAAGATAACCCTGTTAGACTTCAGCGAATGCTATGTCGAATCATGGGATATGATGTCGAATTCAAATATGTAAAGGCAAAGACCTCTTTATTGCTGATGCCCTGAGCAGATCTCAACCAACTAACCAGCACCGAAGCAAATCAAACAAGAGATTGAAAGGACAAGACTTGTTCATGAAGAACAAAGCTTAACAAGCAACTTCGCTCAAATTGCAGAAGCCACTGCAAAGGACGCTGTCTTATGGGTCATATCAGTGGGCTGGAAACCAAGCAAACGAAATGTTCCTGTTGAAATCTTACCGTATTGGAACATTAAGGATGGACTGTCCTTTAACAATGGAAACGTTTACAAGAGTGACCGCATCGTAGTCCCTGCAATACTCCGAAACACTCTGATTATTAAATTACACCAAGCACATATGGGCGCTCGGTCAACCCTTAGGCTTGTTAGAGCTTCATTATGGTGGCCCGGAATGAACAATCAATTGAAACAGTTCATTGCTACATGTGAAGTCTGCAATGCTTTCCAGACTAAGAACCAAAAAGAAACACTAATCAGTCATGAAATTCCTAACAGACCCTGGTCAACAGTTGGATCTGATATTTTTGAATGGAACAAAGAACTCTATCTTGTTCTAGTTGACTATTACAGTGACTGGATTGAATTTGACTTGATGAAAACCCAAACTGCATGTGAAACCATTAATCTAATGCAAAAACAATTTGCGAGATGGGGAATTCCTGATGAGATCGTCACAGACTGTGGTAAGAACTACGACTCAGTCGAGTTCTCGCAATTCTGCCAACGAAAGAAGATTAAACATACCAAATCTTCACCATATCACCACCAAAGTAATGGAAAAGCTGAATCTGCTGTGAACATTGTCAAAACTTTGCTGAGGAAAGCTGAGAAAACGAAATTGAGTCCGTACGAAGCATTACTTGACCAGCACAACACGCCTACTGCTGGCATAACAACATCTGCCACATAAAGATTCCTAAACCGTCGAACAAGAACTGAAGTACCTATGAAAGCGACATTACTAACACCTGAGATTGCAGAAACAGTGTTAGCAGAGAAAACTAAGAAACACCAGAAATCGCAAGCCTATTATGACCGCACTGCTAAAGACCTAAGTGAATTAACGCCTGGAGATACCGTTGGAGTCAAGCATAAAGGTCTGTTGAAAGGACAAGAGTGGAAGAAAGGAACTGTCTCACAGAACTTTGGATACCGTTCATACGATGTTCATGTGGATGGTAAACTGCTCAGAAGAAACCGTGTACATCTTAAGGAAGATCGGCAAGTCAAAGTTACGGAACCCTCCTCGAAATCCGCAGCACAGAACCCGACAGACGGAAACCTACCTGTCGCTGTTGTTGAAAAGAATGGAAAAAAAGTAAAGCCATTAAAAGACGCTGCAAAGGCTGCAGAGCCTGCTAAATGCACTAAGATGGACCTTAAAACTGTTAAACGGACATGTTCGTGACGCTTAGTGAAAATGCCGCAAAGATACTCTAGTTAAGCGTAAAATTGTACATTTTACTGGGGGGAAGGTGTTAGAGGGTGGTAACCCTAATACTAGGCATCATGGGAAGGGGCTCGGCAGAGCTACGTTCTGTCATGGCTTTGAGTTGAGGTATTGTCTTGTTACTGTTAGAGCTCTCACCGAAACAACCTGTAACGTAGACTAAAATATACTTTATGCCCATGACTACCGGAACTTCATTAAAGCTTCATTTCTTCTGCATTGACTAAGACGGATTTGGGACTAAAAGAAATTAATTGAACTAAATCTGACCTGATCCTCCTTGCCCAGACGACGGGCCAGTAGATGATGATGGTGTTGAACCAGACGAAAGAGTCCAATCAAAGTCATCTGAGGTGGATTGGTTCCATCCGGAACATAATCCATTGTCAAATGTACACCACACTAAGCAAGTAAAACAATCTGATAAATTGATATATGCATTCGTTCCTGTCCGTCCACCCATTCATTAATTCATATATGTTATTCACCGGCTGGGAGGTCCGTATTGGGAGAAACTGTGCCCGAGGTCTTGAGTACCGCCCGAGGCCGTAGGCGGTACTCAGACCGAGGGCACAGTTTCTCCCAATACGGACCGACCTAGGCCGCTGAATAACATTTTTATTTTTTTCCTACTGGGATTTAAAAGTTTCAGGAAAATTTTACTTCAGCCTCCAACCTACGTGTGTTGAAGAAGGGCGCGTTCGTGTTGATGTTATTCAAAGCGCGCGATCGATTGCAAACCAAAACAAAACATTACAACATGATTTTTAACTTGTAATTTATATTATCACAATTAAGCTCTCTTTTAGAATAAAGAAAGCTTTTTGTGTCTTGGTAGACAATTCATAAGCTGAGTGTCAAACAAGGATAAAAGAATTGACGAACTTAAAAGCCACAGGAAAGAAAATACATCTAAGATTTTCTTCGGCTGAATATTTACTTTGAGATTAATTCAATCGAGCGGGATTTAAACTGCACAAAGGCTTTATAAAAAGAGCTAATTACACATGCCAATCTTAGGACTTTGAAGTGAATTTGAATAAAAGAAGGCGATGTGGGTAACTAAACAAGTACATAAACAAAGAAATAAAAACGGCGATAACCGACTGCTGGAAAAGTTGTTCGTGTTGTTTATTCACGATTGAAAGCTACATGCAATCGTTGACAACAACCTTTTCTGAAAAGTGGAAAACTAGCGAGGCAAAATTCAATGAAAAACGGCAAAATCTAGATTCAGACAGCAAAAATGGAAAACAAACCTACAAACAGAGGAAAAATGTCCAATAAACGGTGAATGAGAGAAAGATTGCAGTACTGACAGCGTAGGTTATAAAACTAGTGAAGCGACATCACGAGTCGCCTGCTGTGCTTTACTTAATCGATAGTTTCGGTGTGAATTTTTCCTATTCGACAGCAAATCTAATATTTTTAATATTTTTAATTATTTTACTTATTTTACTGATTTTTGACAGACATAAAATTGGCAAATTTCAGACACAAAAATCACTGCTTGGTATACGGCTTTGAGCCATAACTTTCCTACCAATAAAAAGAGCAAGGTGTCTTCCTCAAATAAATGGAATAAAAGTTTTGGACAATCCGGCAGAGGAAATTTTTGAACGCCAAACCAAAGCGACCCTTGACGTCAAAACACGCCATTTTGTCACGACATTCGAAGGCGGTTAAATTAGTTAAATGCTCTTTGAAGCCGGTAATGGCCAGATTCCTCCAAAGTTCTTTGCCATTGAGCAATAATGATTAGACTCGACTTATTTGCATTTGTTTAGCCCAGTTCTTTTACTTACAATGCGCCTGTTAGCAACCCGTTAGCAGCTAGCTGTCAAAAGCCTAATTTTATTCACCGGCGGTCAAATTGTTTGACAGCATACGGATCACATGTTTCAAAACTTACTACCGATTGGATTCATGCACATGAAAGAACAAATTTACCGACGCTGGCTTACAAAGCGGTGAATAAAGAAAATAATACTTATCTCCTAGGCAATGAAGATGTTTTGGCAATATATAACCGGCTACCGCGGGCTTCTCAAATCACCGTCTGCTTCCAGCGGGAAGGAGAATGCGTTACTCACTTTTGACCTAGGGGTAGGGTGATGCTCCAGCGGGAGGGGGAGGAGAATGTCAGCAGCACTGTCTCTGAAAAGTTTGAAAAGTTCTGGAGTAAAAGAAAAAGTAAGATTTGTGCTGCACAATGCACTAAATCGCCTTCCTGCAACTAAAATCTAAAAGTAAAAAAAAGGTATATCACTTGGCTGGTTGAAAGTACGACGAACTGATTACGAAACTTCAGGAGAAACAAAAAGTGAAAACCACATGCAATATCATTCTACTATTTTGGGATCTCTCGTCTGCTGATTCTGACATGTTTATTTTTAACCAAAAGATTGTCGGACCCCATGGAGCTACAATCTTGGACAGAATCATGAAAAATGAAACAGCAAACCCCCACACCCCGCCCCCAAATCATGTATGAGGCTGAGCAAAAGCCAAAATTAATGCGCCATTTTTCCATCCTTTTTGGGGGGTGGGGTGGGGAAAGAGGTATAATTTCCCATCTATTTCGTAAAACATCGAAGACCTGGCGGAATACTTAATATCAATTACACAAGACTATGCCCCAGGCAGGCCAGGAACACTTGTGAAGGTAAAACCACGATGACAAACTAGTGAGGGTCAGCGGGAATCTGTAGACCTGGATCAGTAACATCTTCAGTACCAAATTTTAAAATTAAAATAGTAAATTGATCCTTACGGCAGGAAGAGTGATAGGAAAAACTAAGAAAGAAAACAAAAATAAGATGGCATTAGAACCCCGAGGTATAAATCAACCCAGCTCAGCACCCAGGGAATTCTCTATTATAGCGTATACTTCAACTGGCTACGCCGGAAAGGGGTACCTATTTCAGGCTTCAGGTATATTGAAGGGTAGCGATTTTAACATTAAAAGTACATATCAAAGGTTGAGAAAAGGATCCAAAAGGAGGGATTAAGAAAAAAATCCCGATAAAATATCCTGGTTTTCTTTGATCAATTCATCAAAGTACTTTAAAAAAAAGGAAAAAGAGAGATCGAGACAGTGCATTCAAAGCAGTTTGAAGGGGTGCAAAGAAAGGCGACTGTTAGCCTGCGAGCAAGCTCTCCATTTGGGGGATATCGTGAAAAGTAGGCGAGGGCGAGAGCGAATGGGTAAAATGTTGATGGATTCCAAATGTGGATGTTCCAGATGATTGATGGGTATCCTGTGATAATATACAAAATATGTGTTACACTGATATGATACAACAGTACATATTCAAGGCAGCAAAGCACGCTCCTGTTGTCCTTTTCAGGATCAAGCATTAAGGCCAAATGCTATCTCACTGGAAGAGATTAAGAACTTTTTCTTTTTGGATGACAACATCATAGCAAACTTAGCGACAAAGCTCCCTGCCAATCTTGCAGCTGCTGACGGCGTTGTGTACTCGAGTGGGGATGATAAAACTTCGTGGTGGGCAACGAATTCAATAGAAACGTTTGTAATTATGAACAACAGTCTAAAAAGGCTGTAACTTATCACTAGTTAAAATATTGAGAGAATATAAACTGGATTGACTGATTGAACACACCATGGCAACCTTCCACTTCCAGTTTAAGAAATAAACTGCACTGTCACCATCGTGACAAAATGGCGTGTTTTGACCTCAAGGGTTGCTTTTGTTTTGCGTTCAAACATTTTCGCTGCAGAATTGCCCAAAAATTTTATTGCATTTATAGGAGGAACACACCTTGCTCTTTCTATCGGTAGGAAAGTCATAGCTCAAAGCCGTATACCAAGAAATGATTTTTGAGTCTGAAATTTGCCAATTTTATGTCTGTCAAAAATCGGTAAAATAAGTAAAATAATTAAAAATCTTAAAAATGTTAGATTTGCGGTGGAATAGAAAAAATTGATATCGAAACCAGTGGTTACGTTGTGCTCTTTCTATGAAGATTGTCAGAGGTAGAGTTTGTTACTTCTTTAATTTTTAAACGATTTTTAAGTAATATATGGTCTTGAGCCTGTGAAAACTGATTTGAGAGCCTCCGAACCGACTCGGTCGCCGTGCGCGTAAAATAAAAATCCAATCGAACTAAAAGTTATTTTTCTGGAAATAGTTCACCCAGACCTATATTCTGACAAAGTTTAGGGATTTTCGATTTTTCATTTTCCGCAACCCAGAGGGATATTTACGGACGGCCGCTCTTAAATCGCAGAAGAGGCACACCTTTGACGGCCCTGTTTCACATCATTATATAGTTTCGTCCTTCACCTACTTAATTATGTTAAAATACTTGGCAGCTAGTAAGTTTCGGTCAGGTATGAGGTACAAGAATTTCCTTTCTCGGTCACATTTCGTAGAGAACGATGGTCAGAGTCCAAAGCCATATTATCGAGGATATTCCACATCGAAATCTGGAATTCGCAAACCCTTTAAATTTCACCACAGGTGACTCAGACTCTGTAGGAGGTCATTGGACCTTGGATTTATAAAAGAATTTACGAAAATTAAAAAATACGTCCTAAATTCCATTTTTTGACAAAAATTGAAATAAAAATGACTCACCTTGTGTTTTTGTTTTGTTATTTACCGTTTCTTTGCTTTTAGAGCCATTTGGAAGCCGTTTTGTCGACGTTTAAGATTCGGGGTTTTACTAACACTTATTTCTTATTGTTAGTACAACTCAATATAGGAGGATCTTTCAGAAGACTGGCTACTAAATTAGCTGTAAGGAGTAATAATAGTGATTTCACTTACGCTAAGCATACCCACGCGTTGCCCTTTGGGCCCAATTTAAGAAAAAATGGTACATTAATTCTGGAATATTTTTGAAATCCCCCGCCCTTTTCAAAGACTGAGCTAGCGGAATTATATTATTAATTAAGTAACCAAAAAGACTATCCAGAACCCGTTGTTTCACCAGTCTTTCAAGCAGAAATAACAATTATGATAATAATTATAATGATAACACAAGTGAAACTTGTAAAGAGATACTTACGGTGTTGCGCGTTGGCCAGTTGAAGCAAAGCGAAAACCAAACCTGAAGCAAATAAAGAAATAACTAGCTGTTACTGACATAATCTTTTGACGCTACTTGATTTGTTGTTTACCAGTCTTTGCCACAACCCTCTATAACTTGCAAATCGCATCAATCCGAATAATTAAGAGGCCCTGCGCCTAAGAAACGACCGATGATTTCCGGCTAAAAAATAAAATCGGCCGATTTTTATCTCCCAAGTAGAGGTTACCGAATACTATTCAAAAATGAATTTCTTTTGTTTCAGTTTCGCTTTAAACCAAAAATATCGAGCCGCAAACTTTTTCCGTCTGATAGCAGCAAAATCAGGCCTAAAATAAGCTCTCGCAA